AAAATGTGTGTTTATTTGCATGTATCTGTGACCTTGGCTGGCTGCCAAATGAAGAAGAAGAAAAAAAAAAAAAAAAGATGCAGGATTCAACCCAACATGATGGCCCCAAACCCACTCTGAGCTTGGAAGATTCCAGGCTCCATTCGAATGTGGGAGAAGTCTGGAGGCGAGGATTTCTCCTGACCTGAGAAGACATAAACTGGCTGATTTTGGTCACCTTTGTCCTTTGTCCCCACTTTAGGAGAGGAGGGGCTGGGGCAGCACGGCATGCTTTGTAGGATGCTGCTGTCCTGCTCCTCCCTTCACTGACCCCCCCCCCCCCAGCACCATGGTTTTCATCTTCATGAAAAGGCTACAGATGGTATGGAAGAGACTGAGCCAAGCTCAGGGAACCCAGGTTCCATTTGGATGCCAGGAAGCACTTCCTGACAGTCAGGACCCCGAGGGTGTGGGATGGGCTTCCCCGGGAGGTGGTTGAGGCCCCATCGGTGCGGGTGTTCAAGGATAGGCTAGGCATGCTCATGGTGGGCATGTTGTGAGTGGAGCCAGCTGGAGCCGGGGTCAGACTAGATGTCCCGGGAGCCCCCTTCTGACTTGCTCTGTTTCTGACTGCCATCCATGAGGACAGAGAGCAATTCTTCTGAAGATAGAGTCCACCTGCAACCTTGGAGGGCTTCACTGAAGTGCAGAGAGCAAGTTTTCCTATGGCTGGACAAAGTTTAAAAGATTATTGGCACAATCCTGTGCCTTCTTATTCAGAAATAAGCCCTGCTGACTCCAGCTGAGCTTACTTTCAGGTCACTGTGCATAGGACTGCAGCCTAAAATATTTAAGGGGCACAAAAAATGGTTCGAGGAAATAAGATCTTTGCTTGCTGCTGTATGACCACAAGGTAGGCTCCAGGCAAGCCATTTGGGGAAGTGGGTGTGACACCACCAAGAAGCCATCACCCCTCGTTTGGGGGAAACATCTGGAGAAGGCTCTCTGAAGATGATCTGCTGGATCAGCAGGTATCCCCTTTTTATATAGGATCATTCGCTATTTTAGGGGCACCAAAGGATGCTCCCTCTTTGAAGAATTGTTCTGTCCAGTCCCAGTTTAATGCTAGAGAAGCATAAAAACTCTTGTGCCCATCACATGGGCACCCAGCCAACGGACCATACAGGCACTGGCGCAGGTCACCTGGGCAGTCCTCTGTATTCTTCCGATTATCCTAATTGTCTCCAGATTTGCGTCTAGAGTTTTAGATCAGCACTTTTCATGAGAGCCAGGGTGGCGTAGTGGTTAAGAGCGTGGGACTGGGACTCAGACGATCTGGGTTCTAGTCCCCGCTCAGCCATGAAGCCAACCGGGTGACTTTGGGACAGTCACAGACTCTCAGCCCAACCTACCTCACAGGGTTGTTGTTGTGGGGATAAGAGGGAGGAGGAGATGTAAGCTGCCTTGAGCCCTTTGCAGGAAAAAGGCAGGATATAAATTGAAAAAAAAAATAAAAAAAAATAAATACAGTGCCCTGCAGAAGTTCTTGCTACCCATTGTCTTCTCCACATTTCGTTGACTTACCAGCGCCAGTTGGGTTTGTTTACTTCGCTTTTGTGCAGAAATAAATATATTTTGTCCCTGGGAATCTTGCATACATCAAGTGGTGACAATGGCAAGTAAATTCATTGTGATTCCAGGCGGTAACCCATTAAAATGCGGAAAGCCAAAGGGGGTGAGTACTTCTGCAGTTCACAGTGAGTCCCCTCTGAGTGGTACATACGGACAGATGTGGTGCTTGTGGTCCCAAGCCATGGAGGGTTTTAAGGTTCAATTGCAGCATCTTGAAATCAGGCGCAGCGATGAACTGAAATATGATGTCTATTCTGCCCTCCCCACTCCACTTCTGATAACCAAAACGCTAGTTTATTATCTTCCAGAAACAGGATCAAAGAGAAAAGGATGGAGAAAGAAGAGGAAAATAGGCAAAGAAAATAAGCTATCCAATCCTTCAATAATATTGCATAAAAGTTGACATAATCACCACGCAAAATGAATACTGATGGGAAGGGAATCATCAGCTATCCAGTGGTGCCCCATGGGGCTTACTGTCTAATCTGTATGGGCATGCTTACTGAGATAACATTCCCAGTTTGGGCCCAAATTGGCATTCTTCCTGGGAAGCCATGGATGCTCCTGGCTTTGATATCAGAGGGTCAGGGCATCCATTCTGGGTTGCAGCTTGAATTTTTAAAGGTATCCATGGCACCTAGCCTATTTTAGGGATGGGGTTCAGAACCATGGAAAGCTCCTTTGAAATTCAGACTGCAAACCAGAGTGGATACACTGCTGCGTGGACAATGGGGCCAACCAGCACGAGAAATCTGCCAAGTCACGTTAAATTCTGCAACATGTACACAGCACCCAGGTGGGAGCGGGAGAACTGTGGCCCTCCACATATTGCTGGATGATCATTCTCTTGCTGGCTGGGGCTGATGGGAGTTAGGTGCAACATCTGGAAGGCTTTTTATTATTTATTTTAGTTATTTATAAAATGTGTATGCCATTACTTCTGTCTCCGGATGGCTTACAACATTGTTTAAATGTGTATTTATTTATTAGATTTATCTCCTGCTTTATTCTTACAACAAACTCAAAGGGGCTTACATAATTATCCTCCTGCTGCTCTCAATTCTGTCCTCACAACAATCCCCTGAGGTAGGCTGGGCTGAGAGCTGTGACTGGCCCAAAGTCACCCAGTTGGCTCCATGGCCAAGGGGGGGCTAGAACCCGGATCGCCGGAGTCCTGGCCCTGCGCCACACTGGCTTTCAATTGCAGGTTCTCTGTTTCGTGCACATATCAAATGAAGTTACAGTGCATTTTATTGGCTTGTTTGATCAGGCGTTGGCCTTGTACTTTCGAATACATTGTCGTAGGGGGAAAAAAGATATTGCATGCAAACGAGCGCACACCAAGTCCCAGCGTGAGAGTTGGATGTCTTGTCCAAGCCAGAACTTTGATTCACCTAGCCCAACACTCGCTGCCTGAGGATCTCCAAGTCTGTGAGCCATGGCCCCTCTTTCAACAGGATATTTAAAGACTGAAATCTTTAAAACCTTTTGGAGTTTCAGTGGACGAATATGAATCTATCCAGATCATCCAAGGCATCCAGGTGTCTCCTTCAAAGGAAGGGCAGTGGCAAAAGGGGGAAGGGAGGCTGAAGAGCAGGACAGATTCATGGAAAACCATGGGGGGGGGGAAGCAAAATCAGGTAATCTCCCCCCCCCCCCAATCCGCCTTTTCTTTCTTTGTAACTGGGAATAAGGACCATTAAATTCAATCCAGCAGTGCTTGTTTCTGAGTAGAGGTGTGGGTGGGTGAGGTCTAGCCGAGTCGCTCCGAGGTTTGTTTGGGTGATGGTGGTGTTGGAAGTGGGCTGGCTGAGGATGATGGGAGTTGTAGTGCAGCTCAGGCTGGACCTTGAGACCAAAGTCCAGATCTATCCAGCAAGGATTCTCTCCACTGCCCCAAAGGACCACCTAAAAAGTGGTGGCTGCTCAGAGCATCTGAGCAGCAGAAGCAAACTCACCTGTATTCCTGCAGTGATGATAGTGTTAGGATTTAGGTGAGTTTAAAAAACAGAAATGTACATGTGTGGGGTAGATATTTAAATCCGAAGAATACCGGAAGAGTCCTGCTGAATCAAACCAAGGGTCTATCAGCCCTGCATGTAAATCACTTTACACCAGTTCCTTAGCTGCCCACAGGAATCCTGTACACAGACGTGCTGCTTCTGATGCTGGATGTGGCACAGAACCTTGAGGACTAGTATCCATCATGTGCTCCCTCCTGTGCCCTGCACACACCAGTGGCTGAGGAACTTAGGCAGCAGAGCCCTTGCACCCATCCTGCTCAAGGGATCCTGTGAGCCACTGGTCTGTGCTGTGTGGACTGACTGCTGGATGGGATGGACTCTGGGTCGGACCCAGCAGGGCTTATCTCCAGATAGTCCTCTCCTCCATCAATCTGCCCAATCCTTTACAACCTGCAGCCGGGCTTGGACACGAAAGAACGGCAGAGCTGTGCGGGGGAGTGGGGGAACAGCTGTCTAGATGCTTTGCACCTGAGCATACCTGGACAGCTGGAGCCCTCCCACCCCGCAGCAAGATCCATTAGGCTCTAAAACGTCGTAGGTACCCCACGAAGTGCAGGTGCTCTGGAGAGAAACAACAGATCTGGATAAGCGACTTTACCTACGGGGCAAACTCCCTCCCTGCGTGTATATTCAAAGCTCAGCTCCCTTGTTTGTATAAAGGGCCAGAGGAAGGCACCCGAGTCCAGGAAAAGGCGCTCAGGGGAAAGTGTCAAGGGCAGTGAGGGGCAGGAGGGGCAGGCACGTGCAGCCCCAAGGCCCCCTCATCGGGGGGCGTCGGTGCCACAGAGGCTCGCCGAGCCCCGGCACCTTTATTCCGGCGGGATCCCCGGGGCAGCAGGAACGCGCGGCGCCCAGGGCAAGACGCGGTGCTGCGCTCTGCCGCCACGGCCCGGCCGCCTCGTCTCGCTGCGAGCACTAAACAAACAAGCCCCAGCGGGGAAGGGCCAAGAAAGAGTTAAGGGATGGTCCCTCCTCTCTCCCTCCACCCCCGCCCCCTCGCGGGCAACGCACCCTCGGCCCCGCTCCTCCTCCGGAGCTAAAGGGGGCGGAAAGCCGTCGGAGGGAGCCTCCGCGCCGGACGCTCGCCGCAGTTTGCATCGGTGGCCCAGGCAACGAGCCGCCGGGCGGGCCGCGCCGAGGAGGCTGCTGCGTGGGCGCCGCCGGGCAGGGCGCCAGAAGCCCCCGGAGGGACGGGAGGAGCGAAAGATGCTCCGCCACACCGACGGCCGGCCGCAGCCCCCGTCTCCTTCTCCGGAGGGCCCCAACTAGCCACGAGGGCTCCTCGGGCAGGGGCGGGAGGAGGTCACCCGAAGCCGGGACCGGCGCGCCTGCTTTTCCGCGCTCTCCTCTCCGCGCCGCCGAACGATGGCCGTCCAAGCCGCCACGCTGCACTCGCACCATTTCATTCCCCTTTGCTTTCCGGCGGCGTCGGGGCTGGGGGACTTCGCCGAGCTGGAGAAAGGCTACGAAGACGGCGGCGCGCCCCTTCTGCTCGCCGGCGCCGCTGCGGGAGGAGGCGAGAGCGGCGACGGCGGGGAGTTCAGGGAAGCCACCCGCGACCTGCTCAGCTTCATCGACTCGGCGTCCAGCAACATCAAGCTGGCGCTGGACAAGCCGGGCAAGTCCAGGCGGAAAGTCAACCACCGGAAATACCTGCAGAAGCAGATCAAGCGCTGCACAGGCATGATTGCGGGCGGCGGGGGAGGCGGCCCTCCGACGGCCGCCGCCGCCGGAAGCCAGGAGGCTAGCGCCGCGGTTGCGAATACCGGCAGTGCCATCAGCAGCCCTCCTCCCAAGCGGACTTCGGCCGCCGCCGCCGCGACGGCGCCCGCCAACGCCTCGGCCTCCGCGCCGCCGCCTAGTGGCGGCGCGGCGCACTGCAGGCCGCCCGCCAAGCGCGAGGCCAGCGCGCTGCAGAGCAAGAGCCTGGCGGCGCTCTTCGACTCCTTGCCCGCCGCCCGCATGCAGCCCTGCGGCGGCGGATCGGGGCCGCCCAGGCCCGCCGCCCCGCCGCCGGCGGCCCCGTCCG